TTTCTTAAGATAAATTACAAGAATTTTACCAGGAATATACGTCTAGGTTCAGAAAAAGTTTTATCTTATTTATCGGGAATTATCGATGAACAAGTTCATCACTTATCTATTACACTTTTAAGCAAAGATATACCATAGTTTAATACAGAGATCCCATGAAATCCCAATTAGCTCATTCTTATATTGAAATTGGAAACAATTTTAAACCTTCGTTGAGAATATCTGAAATAGCTTAGTTATGTAACAGATATTCTTATTCGCTTACAGAATAGCTCTCCTTAGAACAATTGAAAAAGAAAACTTATGACTTCTGTGTTTAATTGAAGCTGTTGGGATGAAATGAGTGTACATAGAGATAGCACATGAGATTATCGAAATAAAATTGGTATCCAAAATGTTAATCAACTGAATGATTTCCAGTGACTTCAGAGTTCATCAGATTCTTATCATGACATTATTTCATTTGGTGTTGAATGTTATGGTACAGTCACCCAAAGATCCCAAATCCCTGATTCCTGATTATATGTTTACAGTTTGCAAAAGTATCACTCGATCTGTGAAGTCCAAACATATCAGTAATCAATCAATGATTGATTATATCAACATAACAATGTTCCTTCATTTAAATCCACTGTTTTCACTATCCTAATCTTATTTCATGGGAAGTTTCATTTAACTTCTAAATAAAAATTCAATGGTAAATTAACCTGAAGACTAAAAATATTTATAAGTAATTAATCATCTTGAAAACAAAGATAATATTTTCAGAGAAAAGCTAAAAACAAATAACTATATATAAGGTCATCACAATATTTGATTACTCAGGCTGACTTTTGTTTTCCATTGATTAAGTAATTAGATGAGCAGGATTTTTTCATACATTTTTCCTCACATTTTCCAAATCCGCGTGCATGTGTGTTTATGCACTCAATCTTCGTCCAGTTAATCTACATCAATATGTTTTAATCAGTTCAGATTTTAATCTCTAGAGGTTTGTGAAAGCAGAAGTTATAATAGAGAAAAAAAATATTTCAATTATTTTTTGTCATTTTAATTGTATTTTACGGAAGTGATGCAGGAACACACACAAAAAAATTCATCGAATAGATATAAGCGAATACTCGTAAGCAATAAAAAAAAAAACAATAATCCTATGTCTAGAGAAAAATAAGTCTGACTTTTAAAATAGTAGTAATCAAGAAATTACAATTTTTCAGTAATGTTCATTATTGATTTCAAATGAAACGTATAAATATTATCGAACCTCTAAGATTATACTTTACAGTGGAGTTCAACAGGGTCTGTTGTGAGATAGTAACTCACTGATGACAATGGTGGACGGTGGTGCAATTTCGTGGATTGGTTGAAGTTAGACATTAACACCGTTGGATGCCGGTCGCGCACGAGAGTGTTAAGTCCTGGGTTCGAATCTCACGAGGCAAGATGGTGGATGCGCATTGTTGAGGAATCCCATACTAGGACAAAATGACTGTCCAGCGCTTGCGGGTTTTCCATAGTGGTCTAGTTTCAATTGACTCATAAATACAAGTATTAAATTTGGAAAACTACAACTTTATAGTTATATTAACCTTACCTTGCTAAAAAAGACAAATATCTATTATAAATTATATTCATATGAGCACCTCTGAGGAGTCTCATATTAGGAAGAATCGGCCGTCCAGTGCTTCCAGGTTTTCAATGGTGATCTAGCTTAAATTTACTCGTAGTTTAAGCTGAGAAAATATCATAATCTCCACAAATCCCCATACTGATAAAATAACGCAATAATCAACTGCCTGAGGAAGCCAAGTATATGGAGAAAATAATTCAACTTTAACCCTTAGTGGTTTAATTCGTCTCCAAATGTGATATTGGTTGTTGTAAGTTCTCATAAATATTCCTCATATCTAAACACATCAAAATGCGATCATCAGAACTGTAGCTTAAATTATGTATCCTTTTATTCAATGCAACAATTATAACAGAATATTTGAAATTCTTAAGTTGTAAGATCACAGTAAACTAATAATGTTATCGTATTTCACCTACTCGGCGAGGCCATACTTTGTGGACGAGCCAGTCAGAAGCGTTAGAGGAGTTTCAAGGTCAGGGCGACAATTTCGGTACTTGATACTCACGTACGACCGGTTTACAACGGATTTAAAAGATATGGTAATTGGGCGGCTACAACAAATGGGATTACTAAGAAGTTCCTTTATTTGTGACTGCAGTAATCAAATAGATGAAACAGTAGTCGGGAAGCAAAAATTTAACGAAGGATGTAGTATTAAAGAAGACCGGGTAAGTAGCACTTCCATAAATATTCCTCACAGGTCCTTGGAATCTACGACAGGTCAACTCAAAAGGGACACTTCCATAGGGTCAGAAACCGACAGACAACGATAATAATGCCAATTATATGGGAATATATGTAGCAGGCACTACAATATAGATGGATGATTAGAGAGCGTACAGATGTCTGCATAGATTTAGTTGTGTGCATCATGTCGTTATCCACAAGCGCCATTTTGTGTGCCCTTCAACTGGAGTGCACCCTAACAATATTGAAGCTATGTGGTCGAGGCTGAAAGAGTCTTTACGACCTTATCATGTCTCGAGAGGCTGACTATTATGGAGCCATATGGATGAATCCCTCTACCATATATATCACGATTTCAGAACCTCCGAACCATGTAAAAGAAATGTATCCATTTTATTTTTTTGGTGTTGTATAATATATTTTTACTTAATATTAACTGTTTTATGACTAGTTAATATTTCTCCAGGTCATTTAAGATTCGTTCAAAGGTCGTCTAAAAATTACAGTCTCGCCAAAAACAGCAGCATTAGTAGAGAAAGCCTATTTCTAACATTTCTTCTCTTTCATTGAATGGAATCGCTCTCGTAAAGAATTAAACCTAAATATCTTGATTGAGTGACTAAAGTTTAATTAGTTATCATAATTTGTAAAACACAAATACCAAATAGAAATTGATCTATGTCGATGTAGTTAAATTCGCTTACTAAACGATATATATATATATACCGGATTCGAGCATTAAATTTCAATAAAGCCTCACTTTGTTTATATGTATATATAAATATTCCAAAGTATAAATAACTCAAGATCAAATAAAGTAAACTTTTAAACCGAAAAACCATATCATCATAACAAATATAAACACTGTTACTGAAGTTTATAACAAACAAAATAAACTGAAATTGAAAATAAAACGAAAAAACATTAAGAAGAGATGAGAACAAATAAAATTGAAGGTGAAAAAAGCACGCAAAGCAATATGTGAGAAAGAAAACAATAAGACTCATAGAAGACGATTCTACAAATTCAAGACGAAGAAATAGAAACAAATAGAAAAGAACAACAAATTTTCGCCCAAGTTTGAAAAGGTAGTAGGGTCAACATTGAAAAAAGTTTCTGTGTGACACATTTTCTGTTGTTTATTTCTCTTTCATGAAACAATGAAATATTATAATACCATCAAAACACAATAAGGTTTCTATCTTTTTTTTAATGCCTAATTATTTCATGTTTTTTTACAACTGTTTTCTATTTATCTTTTTTACACCGAGTTTTACACATCACATTTACCGTATAAACATTTATACATACGCTTCCGTGAAAATATAAAAAAAATGCAAAAATATTTTGTAAGAATTAACTGTTATCTTTTTTTTATTTTTTTTAATTATTAGATCTTCAGTTTTGTTGATCGTCCTCACTCTTTCTTTTTCTTTCTCGGTAAACATTATGGAAGACATTATTACATATTTTTTTAAACACAAGAATTCTGTTTTCGTATTTCATACAAATAAGACTAATTTTACAGAGAAATGTGAATACTTTACATTTATGAATTAAATAATTCGAATTAATGATTAGTAACCTTTCACTGATCTGAAGATCAATCAATGAAATTCCATATAAAATAAGATTTATTCTTATTAGATAGAATGTATAAACCTTCACTTTGTATTTATTAATGTAGAGCAAGAAAAATGTTACAGGGATTTGAGAAGCAATAATTCTAATGGTTACCAATAATAAATAAGAGGAGTTGATCAAAGAAATATACTATACATTAATTACTTTACTTTTGTACACCTTTTTTTAAATTGTATATAATACAGAATGAAAGAATTACAAACATAAATAAGTACACGTAACATATCTCATATATATGACTAAATAATGAGCAGAATAACACTGATGTCAATTACTCCATATTACATAAGAAGTCCTATATGATTGTGAATGCAGTTTTGTTTCTATGAAAGACTGTTGTGTTTTATATTTTCTATTATCATTATTATTACTGTTACCGTTACTATCACTAATTACCTGCATCTTTATTTGATCAGCCGATACACCTACATAATAATGATAATCTATTCAAACAGAACAAAATATTTTTTTCTTTCAAAAAATAACAAGTTGAAAATACTTGAGTGAAAAAAAGTAGTTGAACTAACTATATTTAAAAATACGAATAAATGAAACTAAACCAACGAGAAAAATAACACAAACAAGCGAAACAGTCAAAAAGAAAACTGTTAAGAAGAATAGACTTCATCAATGTACACAAATATAAAAATAAGAGAGTGCAACAAAAGTTGATCTTTTAGAAGGAAAAACAGATTTCACGCAAAGATTCAACAGTGAAAATTATGTTCCAGTTTGATTCAACATTAAAACGTACTACCGATTAATAGAGAACAAGTAATAGATATCTAAACAAATGATAAACGTAGATAAGACTTAAACCATTAATAATTATCATTTAAAATTTGAAATTAGTCAACCTTGTGTTCATCAGTCAGTTCATGAACATAATGATGGATACATTTTGATTTCTGACTAATTTACTCATGAAATTACAATTGTAACGGTACCAGTCTGTAGGTTTACATAAAAAGTGAGTATGAATTATAAAAGATATATTTCCCCTTTTTGGATACCGAATAATAGGTATAAAAGTGCGTTAGTCGTTTGAATTAGAATTCAAATCGTGTCTCGTAGATTGTTTTTTGTAGCTATTTATTGTGTCAACATCGTCATCATCATCTTCTGAGTTCTCCGCCTCGTCCTCGCATAATTCTGCACTGATTCCCTCCTCGTCGTCCTCTTCATCCTCTTCATCCTCGTCCTCCTCCCCATCATTATCATCTATGTCTTCAACACACTCACCTCGATCTTCAACTTCATCAAGATCGTTATTTTCGTCAATTATTTTGTTATTTGTTTGTTTCATCTGATCGATAAACTCATTAGTAGAGAAATAGAGATGTCTAGATAAATCATTTGATGGTAGCAAACGCAGTTGATTACACTCAGTTATTGATAAATTTATTTTACTCATTAAATCTATTTGGTCGTATTGTTGTTCGCGGTGGCAGTGTCGATTATCATTGTCATCCTCATGACCATTATTATTATTATTACTAGTGTCGTTTGTCAAACTATCTGTACTTTTCACATCATTTTCAGTATTAATATTATTATTATTGAAAACAATATTGTTTATATCAACTGATCCATTTAATTCATGTGAAAGTTGTATTTCTGGATTAGTATGAAAATGATCTGATTTTTCACTGGTCAAATGAACTGTATTATTATTATCATTATTATTATTAAATGAAATAGCATTGGCAGCGGCTAATGAAGAGCATAGTTCTAAAGCTTGTTCAGTTAATGTTAACTGCCCACTAGTCATCGTACTTAAGAAACGGTGATCAAACTGTTGACTATTAGATAAATCACGCATTAAAAGCTGATTATTATTATTATTATTAATAAGATTATTGTTACTGATACTCATAGTAGTAGTAGTAGTAGTAACAGTAGCAGTAGTAGTACTAGCAGCAGTAATAGTATTGAATAGATCTAAATGTGCCTGATGTGAAGGTAAGTTACCTGATACAGGGAATGTATAATTTGCTTGTGAATTGCAATATGGATAAATTGATTTAATTAGGTTGTGGTTATTATTATTGTTATTATTATTATTATTACTATGAATGGTTTCATGCTCAGAACTATGTAATCGACGGTTGTTAGTTGAATATTTACTAGTACTGTTATTCTGATCTAATATATCCAATGGAAATTTCAAGTGATGCGATGATGATGCTGATGATGAAGATGAAGATGACGGTACTAATTGTGTATTCATAGGATGCGATGAACTCTGTGAATGATGACGATGATGAAGAGGAGGAGGATTCGACTGTTGTTGTTGTGATTGTAGTTGATGTGGAAATGAATGTTGAATTTGTGTTGTTAAATGTAAAGGATAATTAGTTGAAAAAATTTCTGCATTCATTTGTTGTTGTTCACAAGTTGAATTTTGTGATGCGTAAATAACAGTTGGAATAGTTGAAGGATTATCAGTTGAATTCAGTGCATTAAATGTACAGTGTTCTAATGGGATCATATTATTTCCTGAATTATCACATTTAAATAAATCACTTTTATCATTATTGTTACTTAATACTGTTCTTGCAAGATTCGAATTTAACGGTAACTGATTACTAGGTTTTGTAAAACTATTACAAGAAGCTAAACTATTATTTCGTGTTATTCGTTCCAATTCTGTTGGATTCCCTGATATGAAACTATTATCTAATGTTTTTAATGTTGATACGGGAGTAGTAATTGACAATGAACATCCAGGTTGACGTCTAGATGGTAATAAATAAGGTGTACAATTGCTGAAATCACCATCTTGTGAACAGCGTAAATTATGGATCATACTTGGCTGTTGCCCATGTTCGTCACTACGACTGTATGGGGAATCCGATGGTGAATTAATCGTACTCGACAGTTTACTTGTATCTTCCTGCCATTTGTCTAGTGATCGACGACGAGCATTCATAAAAAAATTTGCTACTGTTGAAACTTGTAATCCAAGTTGTTGAGCTATTGTAGACTAGAAAATTATAAATAAATGCAAAATCAAATTGCTTTTATCGATTTGTCGAGAACATTAGTTCACTTATAAGATATCGGCCGACTTCAGCTAAACAATCACTGCTGCAATCAGCGTCCAATGATGAAAAGCTCGAAACAATAAAACAAAAACTGTTCAATGCTCCTTTGTTTTCACTGGTTCGCTAATTGTAATCGGTCCACAAAAAAGGATTAATAAAAAAATTTATATCGAGTCCCAGGTCAGTGATCTAAATATTAAGATCCCTTCGGGAAGCTCGTTTGTCCCTTATTTTATCCTTAGTTGAGTTTCAAGTGTGCAATACTGAGAAGTCTTATCCTGGAAGAAATAGCTATTTATTGCTTTCTGGTTTTCAATGGGCCTCCAGCTATTTTCAATCAGAGATGTAAAGGATTTATAAACTAAACTGAACTCAAAAAAACCTCTCAACAATTAAGCGAACTTTTTAGAAATCTAATCACTCAAACATAATAATTAATGTTTAAACAATATTTTTCGTTTGTATTACTGGCATTATTGAAAATTAAACATTAATTCATTTTATTAGTACTTTAATTTCTTCCATTTGGAATGTTCCGATCATATGGAGGTGGATGACATATTTTATATTTAATAACATTTTAAGAAATTTACCGTTATTATTTCACTTCGTTTTTTTATACGTCATCATCAGTAAATAGTTGGCAGTATAATCACCATTATTATTGTTATCATCATCGTGATTATCATGAACGGATTATTGTATATATTATCTACACTGTATGTCTAATCACAAATACACAGACCAACACATATATAGCTACATGGACTCACACAATAACAACATACTGTTTTATTTATAGATACACGATTAAATAATGAGTAAATGGTGAAACACACTTAATTACACAAGTATACTCACGTAAACGATCTTTTAATGAAGCATACCAACACCCACTAACTGAACCAGTCTTTATTTAAACCATATATAAGACAGGTAAGGGTTGAAAAGAATAGGAAGAAATATCAGATAATGAAAAGAAGAAAAAAAGTAGAGATACAACTTGATTTTCAAGAGTGTGGTCTTAATTTGCGTGAGCCAGGTGTACTGTTCAAAGACATATTCCCACGAAAGAAGCAGTTTTTTTACCATTAACATTATTATTATTATTGATACTATTATTACTGTTTAGTATTACCCTTATTTCTCGTTTTTCCTATACTTTATACAATGTTGATGTTTTATTTTCCAGTCACATCATTTCTCATTTAAAATGATAAAAGAAAAATATTTCTCACCTTTATTTCACTATTAAATGTTTTTTTTAAGTGTTTTACTTTGTGTTTAGCAGACTGGACATCGTCATTGTCATGTTGCTTCTTTTTTTCTTGTACTCTACATATTATCATCGTTTTTTGCTTTATTCAAAAGGGATAATTAGATTGGGTTTCTTTTTTTAAAAAAACAATGAGGTAATCACAATAAGTTGATTCTGTAGACTATAATTCATTACCTTTAATATTACCTATTGGCAATTTTAGTTATTTTCTGGTGGTTTTTTTTGGTAGTATTATTATCTTTTATTTGAAGGATAATTGACAATGAAAAAAAAACCATATATGTCAATAATTAAGTTTTATCCTGAAATCAATTAATTTCAACTACGAGTAGTATAATTTGCATATACTGAACAGATGATGATGATGATGATACCGAATGTGTTTGTTACATTACGGCAAACTTACTGACTGGTTAATAATTCAAGTAAGTTTCCTTCAAATAACGTAGGAAATACATCGTATCATTGAAGAATAATTCAAGAAAATTTAATAGGGAAAATTTCTGTCTCGATTACGTCATCTATTTAAACTGTACAATCGTATTTATAGTTAGTTCTTGTAAATAGTAGTCTGTGATAAAATAGAGTGCTGTGTTGTTAAAAAGAATAATTAAAAACAGAATATTATATTCGATATCTAAAACATTTTATTATTGATTATGACTTCTTTGAACTAGATAACAACCCTTCATCTTATTACAGACTACTATATGTAGAAATAATCATATATACAGCTATACAGTCTAAGTAAATAATATGTCTGAGAAGAAACTTTTCTTTACTGAATTGTTTTTGAATCCTATTTTTGTAGATTAAGATAATGAAACTGAGATTTTAATTCGCTTGTGACAGATTTGTAGAGATTAGTTCAATTTGTCAGTAGTATTCGTTATGTTCGGGTACGAATAGAAATCTGTGAGTCCCACACTATGATAAAATAGTTGTTCAGTTCTTTTTGCTTTTCAGTACTATTTCAACTGATATAAACACATAACAAAAACCATCCAGAATCTGAAATTTACTAACCGTGTGTCGATCTGTTTATTTGTTAACGGTTTCAACATAACAAGGTTGTTTACTTCTTAAGTTTATGAATGAGCTGTTCAAAGATGAAAGTTAAGATTTTGAAGTAAACAAACTTAAGCTTTTGAATTCATGAACAAGGATTGGTTGAGCAAATTCGTTGTGTTACTGATGTTCCAGTGGTCCTAATCTGAACATATAAAGCTGGCTGAAATAAAATTAGCTTGGATGAAAGCTGATAATACGAAGATTAGAAAAGCAATTCATAAGCTTAGTGGGGTCAGGTATAAATCTTTTTAGAAATTTTCAGGACTTATTATAATGACTTAAGACTTTTATGAAAGGTTTCACGAAAATTTCAACCATTTTTCCATTTACTACAATAAGTAGATAAATGTAACAACGTACATCATACAAAAATAGGTTGGTTTTGACTGTCACTTTTCTCAGTATCATGAAAGAACGGACTACTGAACAAGTAGGAGAAGAGAACACAAGTTGACAATAACTCTTTCGTTTAATAATGATCGAGGTTTATTCTCGTGAGTTTTGCTTATTATGTCACATCCCGTCATATATAACGTAACTCTTTTTATTTCCATATTTCCTATCCCACTAACAACCATTTCTACTTTTAACTGAAACTCGAATATTTTTATAAGCTACATAATGAATTGGTCAATAAAGTCTTTCGAGAGAGATAACACTATTCAATACTCAAAAGACTTTCAACAATACTGATCTTAAAGGGGAACATCTCAAACCTGACCAGTTTTATACATGGTCTCTTCTTGCAAAACAAAACAACAAAATTAGCTCACCGTCTCACATTCATCACCACGTTAATAATTCATAAAAACTAAAAGTTTCAGTTGAGTAGCTAAACTGGAGTTTCAACGTACTGTAAAAATTACTTGTCGAATGACAACACAAGACCTGTGATATTCTATAAAACAATCGGTAATATGAATTCAAGCTATTCCCAGAAAAAAACATGGAAAGTTTTCATGTAGAACCTCTTGTTGTTCTCTTTTTCTTATAGAATAACATGGACTAACACTTTTTAGACCATTTTTATTTGCAGATGTTTTCCTAGCTATGGTTCATTTCACAATTTGCATCAACTGATACGTAAGACAAAATGGACGGCAAGGAAAAATGCATCATAAATGAATTCTTTCAGCAACAATAAAACATAAACACATAAAATGTATACGCTATATTTAATCGCTTATTTATGTTCTTTTTAGGTAATAAACTTCACAGTGAATAGACATTATATTTACTTGAAACATCTATCTTTTGATTGAGATCATAAGTTGATTGATGTTAGACCACTATAGAAAACCTGATCACACAATTTCGTGGTTTGATTGAAGTTAGACATTAACACCGTTGGATGCCGATTCAGTGATCTGGGTGTTAAGCATTCGCACGCGAGATGGAAGGTCCCGGGTTCGAATCCCGAGTGAGGGACGCACACTGTTGATGAGTCTCGTACTAGGATGGAACGGCCGTTCAGTGCTTCCAGGTCTTCAGTGGTGGTCTAAAATAGATCGACTTATGATCTCAATCGAAAACTTAACAATCTCCACAACCTCATACTGACAGATCTATTCACTGTATTTATAGAACGTTATGTTCACCATGACCTGTCAAAAGTCAATGGTAACCAAAGCTCTCACTGACTAAGATATCAGAGAGTGAAGTCAGAAACAAAAGTCATTAAAAGAGTTTGGTAGGATGAGTAAATTTGTAAAATACAGTGGAATTTATCGGTCTTTGACAAGATAAAAGTTAAAAGTGGATCTGACAAACTAGTCCCAGATAACCTATCACTGCTTTGAGGCCGACTAGGTTTTGAAACTTAGATGTTATCTGATATTAAATATGCTGCCAAATGCTTTGTTGAATAACCTGTAAACTTCTCTATTTACTTCTTACTAATTACGTCGACTGAAACCATTTGATTAAAACATTACTTAGGACCTTTGAACAGATGAATCACGATAATCCAAGTAATAGACGAAACTTTGGCTTATTTTAGTCATATTGGATACAATTTAACCAAAATTGAGAGACTTACATTATAAGTGATTTGAATGTTTGAATATGGTTGCCTAGTCAAGTAACATATAATTATTTGTTTAGTTCTAGTTTTCAAGACCTAAATACGACACTTGGATTTCAAGGTAACTGTATAATAATAGCATACAAGCACAATGGTAAGGAACTAAGCATAATCATATCAAAGGTTCATAAAATCACCGTTAATTAGTATTTAACGTTGTTTTGGTTTTTTGAAAAGCTAGTAACTATTAGTTAGAAATCTGCTGTTTCAAAATTGAACAAATCGGATCGATAAATCGATGACTCAAGCTATTCATTGTTCATGTCAATAGTAAATCTCATAGACTGTTCCCAGGATATTTTAAAGAAATGATGTACACATAGTTCTTAACGAAAACCAGAAATCCTTATTTACTTACATGATATACTTAATTAATTCGTATTATCAATGCAAAAACGCTTTGTTCATGAATTTTACTGAGTCTATTCGGAAACCATTGAAGTGACAGAATCATAATGGATTCAGATATATCACTAATTCCCGACACCATATACATTTGTTTACAAAATCTAATGTCTTTGATTTGAAAATCTTATTTAATATAATGGAAAGTTATTTTGGAATTTTTTTTTAAAAATTGAATGGAAATTAAATGTTTCCCATAATAAAATGTTGAATTATTTCGTCACAACTACTTCATAATCACGTACACGATATAAAACAATAAGAAACTTTCTTTTAGCTTCTTAACACTCAACTTACCTGCATTTCTTTACTAGGTCGCTTGGTTTCTTTAAATATAGCCTGCAAAGTTCGTCTTTGTATATCAGTAAAAACAAGACGTGGTTTTTTAGGCTGACGACCTTCTGACAATTTGATATGTTCTGATTCTTTTCGTTTGCATACTACAGGACCTGAAATATATGAAAGAAACAAAATCGTTCTCGAAGATCAACTGTTAGAAATAAAAATAAACAAAATATAGAATAAAAAATGAGGTTAGTATAGGGGTTTGCAGAGATTACTAAATGTTAATGAGATCACGAACTAACTTAGGTTAAACATGTACACCATCAGATATCGGTCAATTGATCTAATGGTTTAGCCTTCGCCTTGAGAGTTAAAGTTTCTGAGTTCAGTCTTCACTGGGCTACTGATAACCTTTCCTGAGAGGTCCCATACTACTACTATTACTACTAGCACTTAAGCCTGTTACCACTCTTTAAGCACAGACCATCGACCAGGAATCTCTAACCAACTCTATCCTGGTCTTCCCATTCTAATTGTTGTAAAGTGTTTATAATGGTCTTAATATCTGCCACCGATTCCTAACTCCGTGTGTTCTTTGATATGGCTCTTTTTTGCCAGTCTGCAGGTACTTGTTCTTCCTCACAAATCTTTCAAAAAAGAACGTGGATTGTCTTTGGAGTTACTCTATAGTTTATCTCAGTGATTCAGATGGTATTACGTGTGGTCCCACTGCTTTGTCATTCTTCAATTGTTTGGTGAACTTTCTGATTTCGATTGTTAATGCGGTAACATTTATAGGAAGGTGTGTGTGTGCTGATCCGATGTCCGGTGGGTTCATTGGAGCTTGTCAGTTCAGGAGCTCTTCAGACCTTTCTACCTACCTATTTCACTGTTTCTGAACCTCAGTGGTTGGTTTACCCTCTTAGTTCTTCACTGATCATTCTGGTATACTATCTTTCAAAGGCTGTCTACAGAGATCCACTCTTCATTCTAGTGCTTATCGGGGCCAATCGATTTCAGTCATGTTGGAGCTATTTCTTCTTTAATCCCTTTCCGGTTGATCTCCATGAGGGTCTCCTTATCCTTTAAATCTCATAAGGCTTCAAACTTGTTGCTCAGAGCTGTCTTGAATTCGCTGAAGCTGTTAGAATCTTGAAGGAAGGATGTACTAAACTTCATAGTTCCACTTGTTCAGTTGTTAAATGTTTCTTTAGTTTCGGTTGTAGCTTAGCCACCACCAGGTGATGATCTGAAGCAAAATTACCTTTGTTCTCACATCTTTTAATAACCTGCTGAATTTTCTATTCATCAAGATGTGGTCGATCTGGTTTTCCGTAGTGTGGACTCCAGGTGATGTTTGATGAGCCCCATACTGGGGCGAAACAGACGTTCAGTGTTTCTTGATCTTAGGTGGTTGTCTAAATTAGTTTGGTTCTTGATCTTAATAAAACTTTATAGATTTTTTATTTAATTTAATCAATACTATAACTAATATAAACTGTTTACTTTTAGTAAGGTTAGAATGATATTATTCAAACAAACAATACTGTACCATAAATAAACATTAGATGCATCAAATATTAAAAAAAAATCAAATATTTATTCTTACCTGATTTATAATAAAAAATAAATGAGCAGTTCGTTATGAGAAATAGATTGCTTAGAATATTAATCAAGATGTTATTAACTATTGTTCACTTTGATTACCAGTATTCGTCAGTAGCGATTTTAAACGTTGGTTTAGTGAAAGCTCTGTTTACAGAGCACCTAATAAGCCTTAATATCATTTCAATTTTAAATGTGAATAGAATCGAGTCTTAATAATAGAAACCTGATAATATAAAATGAATTACTAGATGATATCAAAGTTGTTAAGATCTATTCCCAAAACATTTTTCTGCGAATTCAAACTGGAGATAATATTTTCTTGGGAGATTCAGATTCAAAGTCAATATAAAACAGAGAGTTGCGTTCATCAAGTTATTATAAGTAAAGATACATCGTGTAGAAATTATTACTTGTTTGACGCGTAATTCAAAGTGAAATAACGGAAGCACCCAGTTACTGGACTGTTTATTCAACACAAATTCAATCGTTTCTATAATTCATTTATTTAACTAGTGAAATAAAGCAAAATGATGTAAAACATTGATAAGATTTTACAGTTTCTGTTTACCCATATCAGTATTTGATTTTATTCAGATATTATAACATGATTATTTTTAAAAAGCTAAGTGAAACAAAAATTATACAGCACAAGCCTTGTAAAACGAAAATCAACAAAACCATGAAAGATGATCGTCATTAATTATGATCACTAATATTTCTAAACTCTAGTGACTTTTGCCGTAGATTTACACGAATGTTCACATAATAAGACATTTGACAATTCCGTATACTAAAAATTTGTTTTCAGCCAGAGATTACTACAAGAATTCGTAATGTATGAAAATAAAGTCTATCTTCAAAGAAAATAGTGTGGCTAGCGTGAAATGTTAATAAATGTGTATTATATGTATGTCCGGATTCATGGTGAAATGGAGGAATTTAAAAATGAATTCTGAACATTATTTGTTATTAATGATTGTATTGTTCGCAAGCAAGACTAATATTTATGAAGGTTATAGATTTTTAATTGTTAATAAATTATTTTTTTAATAGTTGAATTCATGAGTCAATGTAAGCTAGACCACCACTGAAAACCTGGAAGCACTGGATGGCCTTTCCGTCCTAGTATAAAACTCAACAATGAGCATCCATGATCCTGCACATGAGACTCAAACCCAGGACCTTCAATCTCGAGAGCGAACTCTTAACCCCTAGACCATTGAGCAAGCAGCCAACAGTGTTAACGTCTAATATTAATCGATCCATGATCTTGCGCAACCAATCATTCATTGCCTGAAGTAGATACTTATCTCTATTCGACACGAATTGAACTCCACTAGTCACGGTTTTTCACTAGAACTCTAGGAAACCATTTTGAAACCAGTCATTTGTGAGTACATGACGATTATGATCTGAATAGGATACCGGAACATTGGTTCGGGAGTTAAGAGTTCGCGCGCGAGATAGAAAGTCCTGGGTCCGAGTCTCATGTGTAGGATCATGAATGCTCATTGTTGAGGAGTTTCATACTAGGACGGAAAGGCTGTACAGTGCTGGTCTATCTTACATTGACTTATGAATTCAACTATTACAATTACTACAATCTTCACATACCCCGATCTGAGTAACGTGATGAAATATAGTCATTTTAATTGTTGTAAACGTTCACAATAGATATTAAACTCAAACAGTCAAGAAATTACATTTTGCTATATTACATTTGGATTTACTTGAAAGTACCATAGGTTATTAGATCGAGAACTACTGTAGGACAATAATTATTTAACGCCTTAGTTTACATAAAATTACTTGACATATATATATATATATATATATATATATATATATATATATAGAGAGAGAGAGAGAGAGAGAACATGAGTAAGATAAAGAAATAATAAATATACTTGCGATCAATAACTAGGATGATACAGTAAATAATGAATATGAATAAAAAGTAGAAAAGAATGGCATTTTAGATTTAAAACAAATAAAATTATAAATAAATTTATGGCAGAAAGACAGTTCGAATTCGACCAACATATTTCATTGTCCAGAGACTCGAAAATAACATATTTACACTCTCCTATATAACCCAAACTAATAGTTACTGAAGTCATGGATAATTATATTATTTTTGCTTGGTAACCCTAAATTTAGCCTATATATTAAAACACCAGTTATAATCTGACGTCTCGGTAGCAGTAGTCGGGTATATTGAACAACGCACATAACTATTATCCAAGTTATTGTGGATCTAAAATTTTATCAGACGTTTTGCCCTCTGTGCATTAAGCTTTAGGTCTAACTCCAACAATTCACTTGGTACCCCTTTTATTTTTGTCATCTATGGCCGATAAATGTAAAGAAATAAACCAGATTGGTGCACGTTATGTTTGACTTTTGATGGACTTTAAGATATCTCATGTATTTCATAAAGTGAAAATTCCCATTTTGACATTTGGTAAATAAAGAATATTAATAATCATCTTTCTTCCAATTACTCAATGTTAATTTAAATGTCATTATGTAATTATTAGGTAACGTATCCACTCGATGAGTATTATATCATTATTGTAAATCATATATATATTAGCGTAGAGTCATGATGAAAAACTAATTGAAAAAAAATTTCTTCGCTCAATTCGTTCCTTCTTTATTTCATAAGGCTGTTGATTGTAAAAAAAAAAGTCAATAGGTCTTTTAACTCCTTATCGAAATTTCGTCAACGGTGAACATAAGGAAAGTAGTTAAGCTCTCGAGATAACTAGAATACAAGTCATACTTTAGTTCATTTGATCTCAAGACCATCATTTCCCTCAATTAACTGATAATTTTAAATAATAAAATGGTAACATTTGTGTTTTCAAAATTACATCATTTAAACAAAATATCAAATGAAACTAACAAAGTATAAATATACAACTAAGGAAAATATATTTATTTTACTCACCAGTATATCTCAGATCAGATTCTGCTAGACGATTCATATAAAAAGATAAATAAAAATAAAAAAAATATTTTTTGAATTAATTACAGAATTTGTTGTTTTTCTTTTATAAATTTTACTAAAATCAGTATGATATACCATCAATACCATTTATCACTAGTAAGAAATGAACTCATGTTTCATTAGATTTAACAAGATATGGTACACTGTTTTATAAACTATATATATACTATTCACTGATCAGAACAGAGATACACTGTGTTTCGAAATTTTTCTACATAGTTTGCAAACAAAGTCTAAAATACCATGCACTCATTAAAACTGGTAATATTCTGAGACTTGTCTAATTGAGGAATAATATTTTTATTGAGAACCATGACAAGTTAAAATACCAGTGTTTATCAGAGATTCGTGGAATGGGCTTATCTTTGCAGTTCGTGAATATTGAGTAGTTTGTAACCAAGACTTATAGTCTGATATAATTCCATTTCTTACGGTTTTATAACGAAAGATTTACTGAAAAATCAATTAGTTTAAACCCAGTGTTGGCTATGTTTCACTGCAGTTGTATTCATAGTCTGTGATTGGTGACTAAAGGTGATGCAGACGAAAATCATCTGTAGTTGTCCAGACAAGTACACTACTTATCTCCCAGTTCTTGGGTTCTAAATTATTGCCGTTGTTCGTTACTCGAACTACGTTTAAAGTCTTCATTAATACTATAAAATGGACTAATTTGGTCTTTATTTATTAATTTCTAGGCCCTATCACGGTGTGGATTCGAATCGACATACAATTATGTCCGAAACCAACAATGTCTATGACTAACAAGTACAGCCATTTTATCCCCTAAATAGCTTCTCAGATTATCCCAACTGGTAATTAAAACTACCTTCAGGGTATGTTGGTATAAGTTATTAAGGCAGGCCACCAGTAAAAGCTATTTTATTATCTGGAAAGAAAACTAAAGGATTACTATCTGGTTACAGTATAGCCTTTCGATTCTTACCTAGTTACTTGATATATTCAGATTTTCAAAATGAGAAATTAACTAGTCCTGACACCCATGAAAATCTGGAAAATTACTTACCACATAGCAATTACATATCACACAAAGTCGTCAATTTGAAATTACAAACACAATATTGATCTAGATATTTTTTATTTACCTGATCTCAACTAATGAGTGCATTTTATTACTACATTTCATCTAAAACAATAATGACACTTCCACAAAACACTATATATTACTAGTTCCTGATAAACTATGTCTCAAGGATATTCTGATGATAATTTTGAATAAATCTGATCATTAGTCAGAATACCAACACTCAGTATTAAAAATACCCAACCCCAATAGCCAATAACGTAGAACAATGTAGTTCTTTCATTTGTCGAAAATGCTTGAAAATGTTTACATAACCTTATTGTCTAATATGTATGGATACTACCTGATTATACGTTTGTATGTTGAACGTGTTAGAAATGCCAGATCCTCAGAAATCAATTGTCCTGTTGTTGTTGTGTTGCTAACCTTCGTACCGCTCGCTGTTTTTGGGTGATATCGTAATCTCTACAAACGACAGCATGATGATTTTATCCATTTCAAACACAGAAATACTAAAAACAAAGCTAGATTTCCCATATGTGTAAATCACTATGATATTTGAATTTCGTATGTTGTAAACTCTACTATACCCAATATTCTACATAGAAATGTTCGGTTGGAAGTGACATTCTTTACCGATGAACAAACAGAAATCATGAAAAGCTTTAAAAATCATTAAAATTATCAAAATTATTTGATAAACCTCCAATAAAAGAATTATCATCTATTATGCATGTTAAATACATTCCAATACCCAAAGCTTTAATGATGTACATAACAACACAAAATACTTAAAACCAAACATTCGAATGTGTAAACTACTCTGTTATTCTATCCATTATGAAACAATCAAAGATAAAATCTGAGTAAACGACCGGGAAATTTAGATAAATACGACTGAAATACACTGTATGTCTATCCAGTCAAGTAATACTTCAGTCAACTGGGGGAGACTATAACTTACGGACGAACCAATCACGTATAGGATAACAGGTCTCGGATCTTGGCACGAACTTTACTCATTCATTCGGATAAATAAAGTTTTGGCATTATAGCTGATGTCAGTTTGTGATGGAGGCCCTAAATCTAATTTCTAACCTTAATCATCAACTGTAAATCAAAATTCGAATTCCTCACGCAGGTCTATAACCCTCATTTGATCCTGGTTATTAGGTGGACACTTTCAAGGCCAGTCTGGAGTTGCTCAAAGGTTATCCATAAATTATAGTTTCACCGTCAACTGACATACCAAAACATTATTTCATACTACACTTTAAACATTTAATCCAGAGTATTGAAGGCTTTCTGTTTAATAAACTGAACGGTAATATATACAGTATATAAAGTTTGAATATCACTTAAAATTACAAGAAGTCGTATTCGTATATATGATAATGGAATTTTACAGGATCCTGAAGTTTTGTGGTGACTGGAACATTTCAGGACAAAAAGAATAGTGCAAAACAATCTCACAAAAATGCGTAATTTCAATTTTCTGCACATTTTATAACCAAAACACTGAGGTAAAATATAAAACAACAGAGATATCCAGCTAAGTATTAAGAAACTTATGAGGTAATGAGAGACAAACAAATTTAGAACCTAAAATAAAAAAATTGAAGACAAAACACTGATCGAATTCAATTAGACCACTATGATGATAAAGAGAGCTAGTATTACTAGTTTTTCAAGTTAAAGAGTTTTTAGAGATTCTTCGTATCGAAGTTAAGCCTCGTTATGAAGTAACTTCAGTTGGAAAATCCCTGAAAATCATGAGTCACTGAGTGTTATTAATTCTCAACTATCCAGCTATGTGGTACAATGCTGAAAATTTTTTATATAAGAGTGAAAGTCTCAATTCTTCTCGGCTTTTGATAAAAATTAACTTTGACCTAATAAGTTCAACAAATAAATAAGTAAAAATTTGATACAAATATTTACATTTACACATAATGTTTAACAATTTTCAACTGTCAAGTCAAAATTATTTGACAGCACGGAAAAAAAGTTAATTCCTTTAAATCTGATATTTTTCGCCTTAAATATTCGGTAAGATAGATGGCCTCAACGATAGAAGTTAGTTGTCCGATGTTTTCTGGCTTTTTTAGTATTCGTGGACTGTACCAATCACGGATTGAAAACCACAGAGAACCAACCAGCTGTTTCGCTCTAGTACGGGACTCCTCACACTTAAAACTCTGCCAAGAATTAAATCTAAGATCTTCAGGTCTCGTGATGAACCCTTAACCATAAATATCAAGAAGTTAGTGTCCTACATATATGAACTCTACCAGTCACGGCTTCTCACTTGATTTCAGGGAACATCTTCACATAAGTCACTGAAATTTAGTTATTTCCACTAGCTTTATATTATGAAAACGCGGATTTCAATACTACTAAGTCACTTGTTTTTATTCACTGAATATAATAATATACTTCTAGTTTTGTTTTCAACAGACGTACTCAAATTCATTCTTTAAAGCTGTATACAACTGAAATAAACGTTAAAATCAATTTTCAAATGATTTTGTTTCACTTGAAAGATTTATTTTGTGGTGACCTGATCTGTTTAGAGAAATGTAAACTATCTTTGTGATTAAAACATTTGTTATTTAAGCAAATGACTACTGGATCTTTTGAGTGATATAACATTAATAAAACAAAATACATAACCTTATGAACTCACCTACAGTTGCGTATATGAATTAACGTGTGCTTGTGAGAGCAAGTACATAAGAAGTACTGAGAAGTTTATACAGGGTTTTCAGGACATGTTCTGAATATATCCATGACAAGAAGAAACGCCCTAATGAATATAGTTCCCAGACAGCTAATGAATATTCCATATGAAGTGAATATCTATAACGCATTCGAAACGAATAACAAACAATGGACATCACTCTTAATTTGCTTCGAACTGACCATCAGCATGAAGTATTTCCGAGTTAAACTTAAGTTTACAAAACGAAAATATGGTGAACTTGATTGTCTTCAAACAAATTCATCAATTGCACGCCCTTACTTTTATCTATTCGCAGGTTTTTACCATTTGAATTAATTCTATCCAATCAATCATGTAAACACTTGTTGTTTTGTGATTCCACCACACTTACTTTATCTAGTTACATTATTTTACATGCAAATATTCATCACTCTCAATTAAAATGTATAATATTCATTTTGATTGGTGCATCAAACAAACTTCTATTCCAATGTGATCGACCTTACTATTTTAAACTTGAATTCTTAATTATACTATTATTTGTAACATTGAGTTATTTACATCTTATAATCCTGTATATCTTACTGTCCATTATTTTGTTAGAAATTATCCAGTGAATCAGATTTATGTCACAAACGTATTCATACTTTTTGAGACCATATTACTCAATCTATATTTGTCTTCTATTTTGTTTTCTATACTTACGCTTCTTATCAATGTCATCTTTCTTTTTTGTTATAAATTTCTTTTTTTTCTATCTATGCAACTACAAATTATTGACAATTTGAACCTGTAAAACTTTATATAAGGTTCTACTAAAATAAACCATATATTTCCGTAATTCACAGTACATTGCTTACAATAAATAAGGCATATAAGTTCAATGTCCTAAGCATTATAGTTAAAGTTAACCAGCTGGTGGTTTATTTATTACTTCTTAGGACAAGAAAGAAAAAAAAGAGAAATAATTAATCAACATATCTTAATTTATTTGCTTGTATGTTTGCTCGTTGTTGTTGTTGTTGTGTTTTATTTTTCTTTCAACAATGCACTGTTAAAAATATCATGCACTTATTTGATTAGAATACATCATAATTATCATGAATAAAATAAATTACAATTCAACTAAATAAAATCATCCGTTGTTTTTTTTTATAAAAAAATTAAATTTCCTTTTCAGTTTAGAAAAATACTACTTCATTTATCTGAT